CGCAGTTTAGAGTCATACGGTTCTCTTTGCTGTAGACGAATGCATCTCTTCTCACATCAATCTCTCGATGTTTTTGTTGTTTATTATACGATTTAGTTTATCTATGATTTGTAATGTTAGCAAAAGGATACGACTAAGGAAGGACGAATCCGGCCGCGATTGATATTAAACTCATTTTAAATGCAATAATGTCTCATATTCTACGTTACTTTCTTTTTTCGCGATCTGCTTATACAATTAACGATTCGTATAATCGTCCATATTGAACTTATGCAAAGATTAATGCCATAAGATGGGGTTTAGGCAGCAGAATGTGAAGACAATAGTGATGCATATATAGAATAATTAATGTTGATTAGGTTTTAGTTTCCAAGATTCAATTGCCTCTCTGACTTTCTCTTTTCTGATTTTTAATTGCCTTGCAAGTTTAAATTAAGTCCCATATTGTTGATGGTGTAAGTCATTCACTGATTTGCTTGGTACAACTTGTGGTGGTATTTGTGTGCTTCTCTCCACCAAAAATAAGTTAGCCACCACTGTGTTTATCTCAAGGAAACAAAGAGAGAAAAAAACGTCAATGGAGATTGGGATCCTGTTTTGTCCTTCTCTAATTGACGTTAAATTTTCCTTCTTACATGCRAGAATTATTATAGGTAAGTGATGTGTTTTATTACATATTTTGTTTCACATGATTCATCGTTGTGTTTGTATACGGTATGTTTGWGATTTTTTAMCTTATTATTTTCCTTTTTTWACAGATTTGAACGTGATCATTTGAGGTATAATTGTCATTTACGTATGTTTTTCTTTTTAGTTCTTCGTATATATTTAATTGTTTGTTATTTGGGTTCCATCTGATATTTGTTTTGATGGTTAATATTTCGTTGTTCTAAATTTGTATGTGTGGARCAAAGACAGCACATGCAACAAACGGATGGTTTGGAGCAGCAATGCATGCTCTTGGAAAGTCGTGGATCGTTTACAAGATCAGACAACCAAGGGTTCAATAAATCCAGCATCTCTAGCAAAAACTGCAATTAAAACAGTAGCCAAGGAAAAATAAGGAGGTATGGAGGAAGCCTTTTCTCTTATGGAGTGATGATACTTTGTACCACTTTACATGCATCTCCTCTGTCCAAAACCCATTTTTTAATTCTTCGAAAAAAAGTATACTTCTTTTTTCCGAAGTGTTTGGCTCTCCATCTACTGTTCTCTTACCGCCAAAGTGTTCTGGCATGACCAAAACAAAATAAATTTGTTCCTTTTCTACAAACTCGAGTTTCCTTTTCTTTATTTTTGATTATAACCCGCATAGCTCTGTTTTCCATTTGGTTCATATCCCATCTCTCAATACTTTGAAGATAGAAAGACTTTGTCCATCAGCAGTTACCACCCAAAGAAGTTGTCATGCTCGCAGCTCTTGGCTTCAACTGCAAGACATGTATTTTTCTAGCTGGCACATATATAAGAAGGATAGAGTTTAGCCGTGTTAACCAGTTTTTACCCAAAAATGCAAAAACTATTGACCCCATGTCTGGTTTTTGAAAATATCAAGAAAACATTAGTAAGCATCCTGTTTTTATGTGTTTTGATTTTTTCAGATTGTATGTTATAACGTGCATAGTAAAAGAGCCTCAACATACGTGTAAACTTTTATGATTGGGTGTGGTTCGCAATCTCAAAGCTCTTAAATGGACATATGCATTCTCACTTCCACCCAGAAACCAATGCAAGTAAAATACTCGAACAATAGTTGAGCCAAAATTGAACAAGTCGAAGAGGAGGAAGAGAATAACAATCACACGAGACAACATAAATTATAGTTTAATTTTACCAAAGAAGAAGAAGAATTAAAGTGGGACATGGTTGTTTTTTTTTTCCTTTCGATTTGTGTTTAGTGTGAGACCGTGGCTTATAGAAAAGTGTTTCAAAATATTTAGGATTTGAAGCAAATACCAATTTTCTATTCTTATTAGTATTATCTCATAAATCTATTTTGATAAAAGGAATGACTTAGCATTCTATTCCCATCTTCGTATGAATTAAATGTTTTATTCGGTAGACTTAAATATTTTGTTCATTTTTTTTATATTTTTTCATTCATCCAATTTTTAAGAGTATAACCGAATTTGAAGCTTAGTGATCAAATAATCAAATCATATCAACTGTCTTATTTTTAACATTAATAAAAAGCTAAGACTTTTGAAATTTTCTCTTTAAGTAACCAAAAAATCAATTTTATGGTTTATACAATATACCAATATTTAAGTAAATATTTTTTTTTTCAATAACGAAATGTTAATTTATTGATGAAAGGAAATAATCATTATTTACAATCTAGAAAAAATTTTGATGAAAGAAAATAACAAATATTTTTTTTATAAGAAAAAATGTTATATGTTTATATTCTTGAAATATTTTCTTTCTTTTTGTAGGGATTTACAAAATATGGTATTGTGGGAGAGACTTCGAATGTTTTCGCTAATTATGTTGATGCGATTAAGACTTGCAACGTCTCCCTTCCTCTACGTAGTTCAAATTCAAAAGCAATGTTGCATGGTAGCTCTCTCTTCCTCGATATTTCTTTATTTGTCATGAGACATTAGAGTATTCACATTAAAAAAATATTTCACAATATCTTTGCTTGAATGAGATTTTGTTGATCATTGGTACTGAGTTTTTCAGTATCGGGTATTAATTCAAAGGCAAAGTATATGCAATTGAATTATGTGATTTTGAGTTTTATGACTGTAAAGTTGTAAAGTTTGAACATCCTTTTTAGGATCTAATTATGGATTCTAACTTGCTTTGCGAAAACAAAATGGGGGAGATGTGTATAGATAACCAACAAACAAAATTTGTTTATATCTATAATATTGAAGAACATCGATCTATATTTTATATCTAGAATACTACCTTTTTTTTGTTATTCCTATCCCGCGCAAGGCGCGGGTATCTGCCTAGTATGAATTGAAATGGATTTTTTCTATTCTACGTAGGATGTACGAAAATAGTATAGAAAGAAAAAAGACGATGATAACATAAATAAATGATATTTATTCTTTGGATATTTTCGAAAGCTTTTAAAACATCAATTTTTTAAGGAACATATGGAATATTGATTTTTGGGTGAAATTTAAGGCGCTATTTTGTTGAAGTTAAAAAGCTATATTGATTGGAATTTCCCTTAACGAATGTATCAATAATTAACACGGTAAATTATAATATCTAATAAGATTTATGCATTAGCTTATTTTCTTTTTACTAAAACTATTTAATAATTATTCGTTCGAGAAGATTTTGCCACTCTTAACGAAAATAT